GCTAAAAGCTACAGATCTTGCTCGGTTTCTGCCGACAATCTGATGTCAAGTCATGTTAGCAGATTCTGCTCGGTTTCTGCTATCAATCTGCTATCAGATTCTGTGAGCAGGCTTTGCTAGCAGATCGTAAGCCTAATGCGGACACAACAGATGCCAATTTGCTCGCAACTTTTTAGTATATCTATTGCCAATCTGCTGGCATATTGCGCGCATTTTGTTTACTGGGAAGCTTGTCGACTAAAAGTAACAGCAAATTGCTAGCAAAAACCGAGCAAAACTTGATACATATTGAAACATATTTTGGTCTGAGACCAAATTGACGCCAAATATGAAGCAAGATCTGCGCAACACGACACAGCTTTGCTTGGTTTTTACCAGCAAGTTGCTGTTATGTTTTGTCAACAAGCTTGAATATATTTTTGCTAGCAATTTTGCAACATTGCCAGACAAAACAAATTCTGCATCATATTTGATGTCTTTCTGCTAATAAAATTTGTAACAAGCATTTGGCAAAATCTGTTTCGACAGATTTGGTTATCTGGGTAAGTAACTAATATCATTTGCAAAAATAATGTCCAAATGTAATTAATGCTTTTTTTAAGTTTTTCTGTATTTGAATGCGATTATGTTTTATTTGTTGAGTCCATATACATATGCCTCGATAAGAAAACATTTATGAAATTATGTGACAAAATCTTGCATAAAAATTGTGATTTGCAATTATGTAGATATATTTTGAGAAATAGATGTAAAAATATTGATCTTTTATCAAATATATGTAACTATTTGCAAAATTAATTTCCAAATACTATTTCGGCAAAATAATAACAAATCATCTTAACGGAATGTTTGCAAAAAAAAAATTTAATTTAAAAAGAAATTGTTCAATAATTTAGAAAAAACTTTCTGCTATGTGATGTTTAAAACATGTAGAAATATAATTGCATATAAAGAAATCAAATTAATTCATGTATATATATATATGGAAATGCATAACAACTCTTTTCTAATTTTTGACAAATATTATTTACAAAATTTTATTTTGACAACTGTTGCGTTATGGCAAATCATCTTAGTGCAATCATTGCAAAATCGTCGTCATTCATGATGTTATTTTTGTGCAATATTTTCACAATTTGCCTATTGGGATGCCTTTACACATGAAATTAGAATCATTATAAGCTTTGTATTAGTTATGCCAACTTCATGTGTAAGTTCATATATCGACTACAGATGTATTTGCTTTGGACGTTTACGTGCTTCAGCCTATCTTTGTTTAATATTTAAAAAAAGCAATAAAAACGGGCTGAAATTTAAAGCAGCCTTCCAACTGATTACGTGACTGCATAGAATCTTATAGCGCAAACCGCACGCCGTGCGCGAATTGGAAGGCTCTGGTTTAAAGCGCGTAAGCGCCTAAAGCAAATGTATTCTATAGGTCTATATGTTATGTCTGCAAATAAGAAATAATTTCTTTGGTTAAAGGCTCCTGAGTATTTTTACAGTTATATTCAAATTATGACGTCAGAAGCAAGAATTATGTAAATTTTGTAGCGTTTTTGACCAGATTGAATTGCTCCCGAAGGAATTGATAATGAAGTCACTTTAGCAAATCGACTACTTATATTGTTTGATTTACAGAAGTGACTGTACTAGTCGAAAACACTATTTGTCAGTGGAAAGAAATAAAACAGAAGCTCGAAAGAACCGTTACATCAAAAGAAGTTAAACAGACATATAAGTTGATAAAACTACAAGGTTTTTGCGTCTAAAGTGCTCGATATCATAGAAATAGAAACATACACATACATATATAATATATGTGTGTACACATATATATGTGTATACATACATATTAACTAAAATGCGAATAATCACGCCAAAATGCAAATAAAGAACAAATATACAAAAAATACACAGTGAAAACTCGTGAATCTCTGACAATATAATATAAATCTGCAAAGAAAACTACAAAACTACAGAACACATGATCTCTCAAACCAATAACGATATTTTGCCACTTCTACTTTGTAAAAACTTGAACAAGTCTATCTTGTTTATAATAAAAAAGGTATTTGAATCATATAATTACACACAACAGAATAGAATAACAAACTTATAGTCATTTATTATATTTTGAGAATAACAGCCATAAATCATTGCGGCATTTTATACAATTTTGAATATTTATATATATATATGTATATATACATATATATATATGTATATGTATGCATGTATAATATATGATATTATCGCGTTTTTGAATAATACCAAAACAACTTATTAATGAGAACGTATTTATAATGTATGTACAAAAACTTTCTCTTGAAGTCATTAATTTTGTAAAATTCTGTTAGATCTAAACACAAAGAAACCTACTTTTAAAGTAAAAGAATAAAGACGGTGCTTTTGCGATAATTGTTTAATTTAATGTTTGAACATAAACGCTTAGATCTAAGTTGATTCTATTTTTGTAAAATAATACACATCATAGAGTCGTATCTTGATCAAAGAACGATTTTAAAAGATGACAAAATGTTTCTCGCGAAAGACATATACTATACCAAAATGTGTGTGTGTGTGTGTGTGTATATATATCAATTGCATATTACAAATAAAAATTCACATTCACACAAATATCCTACATGCAGTATGTTATGTAATTATTTCATTAACTTTAAGAGAAGATTTATGTATCTTTATATCTTATTATTTTTACAAAATCGCTTATTAATCCTATTTTATTAAAGTTTTTGCAACAAATATATTATTTTCGCGATAATTGTAACGTAATCCTCAGAAAGATATTTTCAGTGACAAATAAATATCTTTCAAATGTAGATTTCTGCACTTTTGTTGTTTTGGATAAATAAAAATAAACATTGAAATGAATAAGAATTGTAGTTATAGCGAAGATTACAATTCTCTAAGGTGGTATTCATATAAAACTAAACAAAAGTGCTTATAATGCTAATTGAATACTCCATCTTGACTGTATCGAGCAAAATTCGCTTAAGGCTCCTAGATACTCATTCCAGCCATATTGAGTTACAAAAAAAAAAGGAATTATATAAAGTTGTTGTCTTGCAACTTACATTGCAATAAACTAGTGTTTTTACACTAATTTATTTCAATATAAGTCTCGTCATAATTCAATACGGCTACTTAGTATCCACTAGTCTTAAAAATATATACGATAACTGAGCATACTGATATCAGAGTTTATATTTCTCTTTCATTTGGATTTAGTATGTTACATAAAACTACTGTTTCTCTCTTTTAATCTCTCTCTCTTTCTTTCTCTCTGTGTGTGTATGTTATATATTTCATTTTTTGATTCAATTATATGTCTTAATTATTTGCCGAGTATAAAATTGTAGAACTATAATTTTGTTATAGTTTACGCGTTGCGTATTATAAATTTTGGACCAAGTATATAGAAGTTTCTTACATGGTACAAAAGGGATCTAGCGACAATCCGCATTTTGAAATAAGTAATTTTGCTTAAGAAAGATGTATTTATTTTAATATCATGTGTATCATGATATTTAATGATATTCATGTACACCTTATATTTATTCCATCACTGATAATTCGATTTAAGTTTGTTCAATCTTTTTTGCATAATCTAAATACCAAAGAAAAACTAAACGACAACTTGGAATTATTTGTAGTATAATTGCAAGAAGAAGTTCACAAATATGTACTAATCAAGATAAAAAACGGCCGATAAAATTATACACAACATGTAAAACACGAAAACTTAGGGTACGTCTGATAAAGCAACAAGTAGCCGACGTTAAAGAATCTCAATACTTGACTAAGCAAAGGAGAAGAAGTGATAGTGTGAAAGAAGAGAAATTGGTGATCGTTATTTCTCGTAACATAACAAACCTCCATTGATCGTGATGAAGTTACTATTTTACTCAATTAAACAAATATGCTTAAGGAAGTAGAATAAACCTCCGCGCCGTTTTTCGGCTCGGACAAGTTATTAAATCAAATGTGTATCGGCACGTGCACTAATAACTCGGCTCGACTGGAAAACACCGCAGCGCACATTTCGCACGTGTATTCCACCGCATCTGGGATTATCGTTTCCGGAACATCGTCTACCGACGCGATAACACTGTGTACAGCAAGCATTCTCGTTGGCGGCGCCGATTCCACCTTTACACTAAGTTTCACGTCGCCATTACTTATTTCCGTTGTCGTGTCAGACCGTAATATGCGTCCCTCATCTCCCTCGTCGGCATTATCTTCTTCTTCTTGAGCGGTAACAACACTCGCCTCGAAAGCGACCTCCAAGTGATTGCCATCCATCACAGGTTCCATTAATTGCGTCGAATCGCCACTGTTTCCCATGATATTATTATTATTGTTATGCAACTGTAACTGTTGCTGCTCTGTATTTGCTTCAACTGACATATTTACTTCTTGCTTCACTGTAACCTGTTTCTGTCTTTTCGGCTTCTTTGCAACCGACGACTTCCTTTTAGAAACATTCGGAGTTGATTCTTGATTTTTACCGACGATATTACCGTTATTGTTTTTATAGCTGTCGTGAGCAGTCTTCTGTATGCCTGGTTCTTGCTTGATATTAATTATCATTTGCTGCGACGATTGTGTTAAAAGCGCTTCTTCTTTCACTGATTTCGCCGGGAATGTTGCCGGCGTGAGTAGCATCTTACCTTCGATATGATAACTAACGTTTTTTGTGCGCGGCCGATTACGTTCGCCGCCCGGAAAGGCACCGGATTTGTGCTCATTTGGCATCACTTTCGGCGTTCGCGTCACCATCGTTTTCGTCTTCTGACCCTTTTTCGCGCCGTCGCTGCCCAACTCAACTGGCACTCGTGTCTTTTGCGTGTGTATCATCTTGGGTCGACCTGACTGATTTGATGTTTGCGCCTCTTGCTTCTTATCTTCTTTACGCAGTTTCTTTTTCGAGACTTTTGACTTAGACGCATTTAACTTAGAATTGCTTACGATCGAGTTTATGTTCTGTAACGAGCTCTCAAAGCTCTTCAACACATTCTGGTAACCTTCTTCAACGTTCGATCTCTGTTTATTTTTCTTGCCAAGTTTTCGTTTTGTATTGTCTTCAGAGTCAGAACCACCACCGCCGCCACCAACGCCGCTGCTGCCACCGACACCACTTCCGCCACCGCCGCCGCCACCACTAACGCCTGCACCAGTATTGCTGGCATTAGCTGTAGCGATGGCTCCGTTATCGGCTTCTGTCATATCGTATGTAAATTCGTTCCTACGCACCATAGTATTTGTTTCATGAGGTTTTAGCTTACGTCTTCTCTTATACTTGCGGGGCCCAGTTTGCGGCTGGCGTCTTAATGCAGTATTGTGGTCGCAATGCTGTACTATATGCAGCACTATTTCCTCAGGTGTGGCGAAAGACTCACTGCATACTTTACATAAATATGGCGTCGCGCTTCCTACACACTTCGGATCTGGACCAGAATGATGAGCCCGCACGTGTTCTCGGAGTACCACCTATGAATAAAGTACAGAATTTTACATATTAATCTAAAAAATACTGATCTTTTTTTCTCCAATATAAAAAATTAGTCTTTTAGGTAAACACACAATTTAAATTTGTGATAATTTTTTTTACAAAATGTATGCTATTTGTGTTTGCGCGCTTAAGAGGATACTGAATCAACAGCAAAAAGTCCGATTCAGCTGCCACTCAGGGCCTCCGCACAAACTCTTTCGTAGCGCGTTAAGTTACGTTAAGTACCAGCCATAAACTTAGATTCGTACGTAACCTTGAACTTTATTCAACGCACAAACAAAAACTTAACGTACAACGTTTATGCTACATTAAGTTAATTTTGTTTATTTGCGTTGAATAAAGTTCAAGTTTAACTACGAATCTAAGTTTATAACCAGTATTTTAACGTAATGTAACGCGTTACGAAAGTTTGTGCAGAGGCCTTTAGTCGCTACGCTGTCCAGTAGAAAAGGCGCTGTCCAGCGCCTTTTCTCGGGACCAAGTCGGACCAAAACAAGAATAAATGTGTGTCTCTCCGGCGCTTCTGTTAAAATTGTACTAATCGTAGTTTCAAGATTTCTTTTCTTACAAAGCTTCAAAATCCTTTTTGACACTTAAAATATTCGTTTATTTGCTAAAAGTATTTTTATTTTGATTTGTACGGCAAATTTTGCATATAAAGCGGAAATAGTCTACGTAATAACAGTCTATAAACTTTTTTTCGTTTTTCTTGTATTTTTATTTTTTATACAATTCTTTATTATATTCTTTTTTTTCTGAAGAAGCGTTTTTTCATTCCGACTAATAGTTTTTACAAAAAATTGGAATTACGAAATGTCAGTAAAACAGAACGGTTCAGCATCCTCTTAAATGATGATCAACTTACTCTTTGATTGAAAGCCCGAGGGCAAATAGCGCATCCATACGGTTTTTCGCCAGTGTGGATACGTTCGTGTTTTCTCAAAGTGCCGCCATCAGCAAATGCTTTCCAACAGAATCGACAACCGTACGGTCTTTCGCCTGTGTGAATACGTATGTGAATCTGTTGTGAGCTGCGACTGCCAAAAGTCTTTCCACACTCACGACACGGGAAAGAACGACCGCCCAACTCCTTATTATGCGAATGACGATGGCTTACGAGAGCTCGTCCGTCAGGGAATTCTTCACCGCACTCATCGCAAGCTACCATTTTGTTACGGTGCGACATCATATGTCTGCAACAACGCAATTCTTCATTCAAATACAAACAGAAATATTATTAAACCTATATAACCAAGTATTTTATGTATGCGTTTTTAAGTATAATATATGAATAAAATAACTAAAAACAATTTAAATATAAAAAACAAAACTGTTGGCTTTTATCATATTTTATTCACCTTCGCAATCTGGCTTTACTGTGGAAGCGTTTGCCACATTTTGTACAACTAAAGGTCTTTTCAACATTATGAACCCACGAATGTTTCAGTAAACTGCGCTTATCTTTGCATGTTTTTCCGCACATCGTACATGTATTCGGTGGTGCGTCCTCGGCATGATTCTGTTTTACATGTTCGGCAACCTCGGCTTCGTCGCGACATCTTGTTCCGCATAGTAGGCAACGACGACTAGGAGATCTTGTTATAAGTTTAAATTACCAAACAAGTATATTTTAAACGGATTCCAATTCAAAAGAGAGAAGCCGTTTCACATGCGATCAATGTTATTGCAATACATTTTCCTTGGTAATTTGACAATTAAATTTATCAATATTACCGATAGCAAAAAATGATATTGCCGATTTTACAAATTACATTGATCGCTGCGGAAACCTCTATACTGTATGATGAAAACTAAGTAAGTACAGATAAATACCTTGAAGCGTGAAGTTCAGCGTGTGCTAATAATGCTAAAGCTTCTTCAAACAATTCTCCGCATACATTGCACACATGATGCTGACTGGAACCTTCCATTGTCTCTATTTCTTGCTTGATGTGAATTCTATGTACACGATATCAAACTTACATATATAAATTTCTGATATTATTATTCTGTAGATATCATCAATCAACAAATAAAATGTGTTTATAAATTAACAATCAACAAAGTATCCTATTAGCATTTTATTACAATATATAAATGCAAAAAATAATTATTAAAAATATGTATTTTTTTAAAACTCGTCTTACTTTTGATGACGTTTAAGAAGATCCAGACGATGAAACGGTACGCCACAAGTATTACAATAGAATTCACCAATTCTCTCATTGTCGCCTGTATATGTACCATCGTTGTCAAACTCTTCTGTATCAGACGGTGACTGAGAAATACCGCCATGTTTGACACGTACATGTTCCCGCAGACTATTGACATCCCAAAACATTTCCCCACATGTAGTGCACTCGAATGGGCTGTCACCACCGTGGATACGAGAATGCGAAGCCAACGCTTTTTCCCTAGCAAATCCGACGCCGCAAAACTGGCAAACATACGGCTTGGTTGGATCGGTAACCGGCCACTGCGTTGGATGTTCCTCGCCAGTAACAGACATCTTTGGCCACTTCGAACTGGATGCATAATTATCGCTGCGTGCAGAATTATCATCGATCAGATCGTCCTCGAACAGTTGTGCATCCTCGCTGTACGTGTATTCATCGTCGTGCGATTTATACACATACTTGCCCATCTCCAGTTTGATATCCTCTGTATTATTGCGCTTCGGCATCCCAGTGGTATTACTCTTTCGTTTGCGTGGCGCGCTCGATTGCACCTTCTTGCGTCTGCCCCTAGTGGCGCCAGTTGTAGTGTCCTCTTCCTCAGCCACCAATGAATCCTCGTCGTTCAGATCATCTTCCAAGCCATCTCGCGATGATGGTGCGTACGCATGGATCTTTAGATGGTTGTTCAGATCGCACTTGCGCACAAAACGTGCTCCGCACAAATTACAACTATGCGGTCGATCAGTTTGGTGCGTCAGAATATGATTTGACAGATTCACTTTTTTTCTAAACCTGCGATTGCAGAAGTCACATGGGTACGGTCGAATGTTCTGGTACGAATCCTGATCGGGTGGTAGTGGTATCTCTATGTCATCATACTCTAGTGGATTGTCTTGAGTTATTTTAGCTTCTGGAATCTCGACCCTTCAAGTACAACATAATTTATTACATTTATTACATTACATTTGAATCCTTATTGATATGTATTTTTTGAGACAGTAATTTTAATAGATGCTGTTTAAAAATGCAAAAATATATCAGAGTAGTAAAAAAAGTAGAATAATGCATAAAATTTAAAAAAAAATACATATATGATTGATTGATAGATAAAAGTTTTATGTATCTTTTTATCAAAACTTACCCATCATCTGGAGGTCTATCCCAATTGTCAGCTATTACCTCTTCTGTGACTTGTATGTTTAGATAGTCATGGCCTTGATCTTGCGGTACTATGTAGATAGATTCCATATCATTAGTTTGAGGTATCATCAATATCTCAGATTCTGTTGTAGGTGCTACATCAGGGACAGTTTCCACAGTTTCTTCTACCGCTACCTCCTCACAAGCACCTATCACCTCTTCTCCAGAGGTAACTAGCTGTGCCTCTAGGCCACATATCACCTCTTCATGAAGATCCACATCTCCCACCCATTGCAAATTTAGATCTCCAGCAACATCCATTTTGTTTGGTATTTAAAATTATTTGATCACTGAAATCACTGCAAGTTGAATTAGTAAATATTTATACTTTATTTTACTTAAACAGTAGAGAGCATATTATTGCCACACAAACAACCAAGTCAAACTGCTTTATAATTGATTTTGTACAAATAAGTACATAATTCTTTTGATGTCACAAACCTGTTACACAAATTGTACTTCACAAACTTTATCATTTACTTATTTGACAGAGTTCATTAATTATTCAACATTTGTATGCAATTGTGCGTTCTTATCGCGATCGTCCGACATTACGGCAGTTCCCGCTGACGACAAGACAATTGCTTTTGAAACACGCAGCGCGGACACACAAACAACGAACTTCTGCAGGTACATTATATCATGAGACGAAACTTCGCTAAAAAAAAATCACAATGATTTTGTATCCCTTCGGTATCTGACGAACGTGACGATTTATGCGATTCGCGGCTAACAGCGAACACAGCGGCGAATATATATCCGTAAATTTTACCCCCCTCCCTCCTACCTCTTCTCGGTCATCTTACCGATGACCGTGCGACAAACGATAATCGCGTCGCACGTAGTGACGCGATCAGCCCGAATTCGAATGATCGGACATCTGTGTGCTACTATCAAGCTCTATGTTGACGTTTCAAGTCTGAGGTTATAATTACATAGGTTATAATGTTAGAGGTTATAAATGACGGAGAATTTGTCGCGTCGTCGAAAAAGACGTGGCGTCTGCGTACGCGGCCAAATGAACACGGTAGCGTTACGCCACTGAACGAAGAAGTCGAGTGATACAACTGGATACAACTAGTGCCGACGACAAAGGCTATTCGAAACTGGCAAAAAACTGATTTAGTTCGCTTTCATGTAACAAGCTTCTCTTTCCAAAAGGAAACGCGCGGCAAAAGCATACCATTGCACGCGGGAGACATTCGAGTGCGGATTAGTATTGAGACGCGAAAAGCAACACGGCAGCGACCGACGTCGAACAATAGTCGCAATTTTACTTACTGTTCGTGTACTACGACGCAACCAATAACCTAACCTAACCAAATAACACTTAGATCGAGAGCAGCGTCGACCTTCGATTGTTTCCAAGCTGGTGGGGGATACGTTGAAAATAAATCTAACACACAAAATGGCGGTTTTTGTGTTACGCGCGTGCACTGGTTTAGTTTGGTTCAGGTTTAAAGGCCGAAGCACAGACTTTTCCATAAAGGTATCTTTTCATACAGCAGCACGCTGCGGCAGCAAAATGTCACGTGACTTAAACTTTCTAGGACTGCTTCCGCTAGGTATATTTAGGCCTGGTTTATGCATAGACCATAGAGCTTATAGATAGGTTTGGTTTGGTGCATATATGTAATACCAGAGAGAAACCTGAGAGCGGCCATCCAAATGTAATTTTTTACGACGGTTTCAGCCGCTGGTTTTAGCCGTATTTCCACAAAAGTGGAACTCAAAGGCCGTTCTACATTAAACGCAAGTCACAGATCTCGTGGAATTGACCAATTGCAGAGTCAAATCAGCCAATCGACCAACGTGATTGATCAGTTCCACGAGA